TCAAACGGTTTGTAGAAACCAACAAAAACAGTCTGGCGACCCCTTCAAGAGATTCCCCAAGTGATGGATTAACCCAAAGGAAATGACAAGTCACCTTCTATACTTTCAAATCTTTTCCTGGTTGGTGGTTGACCTAACCCTCTGAAAAATATGAGTTCGTCAGTTGGGATTATTATTCCCAATATATGGAAAAATAAAATTCATGTTCCAAACCACCAACCAGTATTCTATAAGCAAACCCAAGATACGCTTCATATCCGCACCAAAGCCTCGTGTAGACGCTGGTGTGTCGATTGGGCACAACCAGCATATACTTTGATTGCCTCAGCTTCAAGGGAAGATCTGCTTCAAAATATGGGGTCGGCTGTCTCAATTCGAGGGAGGGAAGGACGGCAGGTTTTGGTCATTTTTCTGGTCTACGTTCAACAACAAAGTTAGGATTTAAATAACTCCTATTCAATTTCAGTATTCCCCAACAGCTATAAGATAACCCCTACAACGGATCCAGTTTTGTTAGAGTACACAATTTTGACCCATAGCTCATATTGCCACCTCACATTTCTTACGGAATGTATGGATGTTGAGTCAATTGTCAAAGCATTGATGGCCCTTTGGTTCCCAGATTTGCCAACAAAGAATGGGTCCCACAGAAAACCACAACTATAATCAATCATCAGTTATACATATATATATAGTTGCAAAAGTGTACATATAATGTGTGTGTCGCAAGATCTTGAGCGGACAAGACTCAATCACGTAAACATCAAACTAACACCAATCTTATAGGCAGCCACTTTGCCATAATAGTTCATGTTCTCCTTCCAATCTTCCTATGTTGGTACTACTGGTATAATATATGTAGCCACGTATATATATAAATATATGAGATTGCCAACCTTTGCAATACCCCACAAAAAAAAAAAAAATACTTAGCATATCAAACTATCATACCCTCTGGTAAACAAACATAGCTATTGAAAATGGCCATGTATAGTTGATTTACCCATGAAAAAATGGTGATTTTCCATAGTTATGTTAGTTTACCAGAAGGTAAAACTATCACACAGCAAAGATTCCTTAGTTTTTCAGAAAAGGCGGTTCCAAGATGTTCCAAGTCACTGGAGAGCGATGGCAAAAGGAGAAACTTTCGGCGATTGGATCATCCTTGGAACGACTTCTCCACCAAGGCTATGGAATCTGTCTACAAATTGGATGGCTTTGTACAAGGAACGGATGGTTTATGTATGTTTATGTTCATATCCAGGAGTGACGCTTCAATTGATTCAGAACATTTTCTGGTTTTTCATACCACTTAAGTCAATGACTTAAGTTTTCCGCTTTGAAACCCCATTTTTGGACAACTTAAAAATCACCCAACCCGACCCCATGGGGCCATGGGGAACCGATTGGACATGCCCAGCATCGCTCCGATGTCCAAGTTCTGAGGGTTTGCTAACCTGGCGGATCCAGTGTCATCGACATTGGGTGGAAAAAACAGGTATACCGGTATACCCTTGGAGAATCCAACGTAGCGAACTGAGAAATCACTGTTTTTTTTAATAGATAAAAAAAAAAAACATACCTAGACATCCAATCGTACTAGAAAAAAGTACCCCCCCCATGGTTTCGTACTAGTTTTCATGAAAACGCGTGAAATATGGCAAATCGTTCAAATTTTGTTAAAATAGTGATCTTCGTATCGTTTTTTTGAAACGTATTATTTTTTAGGGGCACCAAGCACAAACGGTCAGAAAAACAGAACGCAACTCAAGCGCAATTTTGCGCAACTCGAGCGCAATTTGAAAAAGTAGTACACTTTGCAAAAATACACTAGCAAGATCGTTTACTTTTTTGGAAGGCGACCACTTTTTTGTGAAACGTCATCGAAATTGTTGAAACGTCAACTTTTTAATTCGTGATACTTTTTTCTAGTACAAATGGACGTCCAGGTATATCAATAGATAATAGAAAAAATCTATAAATCATCAATAAACGGGCCATGGCTTCCATAGCTAACTGTAACACATCACCAGCCAATGGCAATGTAGCCATTTTCCAAGTGACATGCAGCACCAGGCGTGACGGGCGCGCGGCGGCCATGAGGCCAGAACTTTCTCGATAAACTCGAAGACCCCTTCCTGTGCAAAGCCCAATAGGAGGGGATATCAACCCACAAATGATATGCAGTCTACAATCTCGACCCTTTGCTGCCTTAGCTGCAATATAATATAATATATATAATATAATGTATATCTGGTTGGTGGTTGACCTACCGCTCTGAAAAAATATGAGTTCGTCAGTTGGGAAAATGAAATTCCCAATATATGGAAAAATAAAACATATTCCAAACCACCAATCAGATATTGTAATAATTTGTAATAATTTGTAACTAATTCTGTAATTCTGTAGGAGGCTTCATGGTGATAGGCTTATGTGTCGCTTGGAATCTGTCAGAATCCCGTGCGAGCTAGGCACCTTGACAGTGAGATTTTCACCGAGAATATGACTGTCGTTTACTGCCGCAAGGCTGCTGTAAATTTCGCAGCTTTGGTATTTTAGAGGAACCCCATGGCCCATGGAACCCCCTACAATCCAATTAATGATAATCCCCTGTATATAGGGGCAATTTTTGATGGTCTCCTGTAGATTTCTCCGTGAAGCAGTCGAACATTTGCAGCTCAACTACCATCTGATAAATTATCATAGCTGTGAATAGTAATTATGGAACATGCCCCTTTCTAGTTGATTTAGCTAGTAAAGTGTTTATTGTCCGTGGCAACCAGGATAAATTACCAGAGGCTACCATGGAACAACCAGCGGAAACACCATGATTTTCACACGGAAACACCCCGGCATATCCTACCTGCCAGGCATGAGTGATGAAGAGATCAGCATCTAGGCCCTTGGGGTTCATCATCAAGGCCCAACCTGGTGGGTGCCACGTGTCACGTCACCAGGGTCCCCCCACTATGTGGGAGGAGAAAAAGGTTGGGGTTTCAAAGCCGGGAAAAAACACAAAGACCTGTGCATTTGTTTCATCAACATCATCATCATCATCATCATCATCATCATAATCATCATAATCATCATGATGATGATGATCATCATTCTAAGATACCAGCATAGAAGCATATAAAAGCTACCGGTAGGAATTGACAATGTCGCTTTTTATGGTGATCTTAGTCCACCGCATCCTGGATGCAACCTACCTTCGATTAACGACGTAAGAGATGTATCAACTACGAGCGCAAGGCTTTGCAAAAGGACACAAACATCATAGAACCTATTTCAAATATCTCTTGAAAACTCTTGAAATACAAGAAAGGATGGGTAAGGGTGACAGCAAGTGAGGGTAGCTTAGGATATCCTGACACAAAGGATTGTGATGGTTTCTTTGGGATTCCAAAGACTTGAAATTGCCCAAAAGCAGCATGTGTCGAATCTCCATCATCCACCATGGTGTTCTTCACGTGTTTTAGGTTGGATGTATACCCACCATGAAAAGTGTTTGTCGTGCACCACATGGAACAACTTGAGCATGCTTCGGCCACAAGCAACTCATCTTGCCAGCCGCCGCTGTGATGGGTTTGATGTACAAATCATTCACCTTGGACGCACAGAGCCCTGACATCCCTATGATCATCCCTGACATGCAAAACTGGGCAAAACTGGGCACTCAATCTATCAGGATTCTGGAAGAAATATAGACTTAGATAAACATCGATAGGCCATGAAAAAATCGGATCTCTAACGATCGACGATCTCTATATCCTATCTTTGGTAGGTAATCACATGCTCATCCTCACGTCATTTTTGCGGTTCAGCATGTTTGCAGGACACAACAAGAAGGCTCGCTGGCCCGAATTCTATTTGAGATCCTGTGAATACTTTCATGGTGGCTGAGGGGCAAGACCAACTTTGCTTCATGTCTTTGTCTTTCCCTCTGTGAAAGGGTACGGGTATCACACCCAGTTCATCCCAAGGCAAAAGTTCCAGGAAATTGCGCCCTGAACATTTTATTTCCCTATGTTTCCAAACCAGCTGTCTTTATCCGGAGAGAAACTGGTGATTTGTTTGTTCGGCAACCTTGCAGTGTTTAAGCAATTTAAAGGGCCCAACGAGTTACTCAAAGTCTCTCGTGTTCATGGTCTACTGTCTGTCTTGATTGTAGCCTGATCGTAGCCATGTTTCCTTACTGAATCCGTGGGATTTCCCACGGATGTACGACTTAGCAGCTGAAAGAATGAGGAAAACTGAGGAATGGTGAAGCCTCAAGGCTCAAACTAGACATAACCATCCACCGCTCAGCCAACCATCAACTGCTCAGCCAGAAATCGACCAAGCCACGATGTAGATACTGGGCCCATACCTCGTTCTCTGGATCTGGGGGGCTAAACACCCCAAGGTTTCCCGTGGTTTTAACCATCATTCTGCTGGGTGGTTTTAACATGTTTTGACCATCTGGAAGGATGACGTCCCATATATGAAATGGAGAATAAAAAATCTTTGAAACCGCCAACCAGTCATTGTTCATTTTTTTGTGGCCATTTAAATAACCATGTTTGAGATTCGAGATTATTCTTGGACAACCCCACCTCTCTGCGAATCACTTTCTGGTGCTCCTTAACTTTTACGCCAATTGACATGTTCAACCATCTCGAGATTGTGGCCAACAAAAATACCAACATCATGATGATCATCATAGTAATTATTACTATGATAATTCTGATGATGATGCTCATGTTGGTTGTAACCAGCATCATGATGATCATCATTCTGATCATCATGTACTGTAGCATACACCAATCATAATGAATCAGAATAATCATTGTTACACTTCTCATGCTTCCATCAGAATGCAAATTCTACCCTTCCCGCTGCCAGTGTTTTGTATCCAGGTACAATTCAGCATCCCGTCCACATTCTTCTTGGCTTGAGGCAAAGTCACAAGCGCACATCTCACCGTCTTTAATTGCCTGTCTGACTTCCTGGAGCAAATAAAAATGGAAGATCTTGGGACTCCATGAAGTAAAATGATGCTAAATGATGCACCTGGATAAAGTGAAGGAGTGATATCTGCTGTACCATATGATGCCTGAAGATTCCTGAAGTTGTACAACGTTGATCTCAAAGTCATGGATGTGGCCATCTGCAGTCCATCAAAATCATCATGTCAGCAGCTCCAGAGTCTTGCGGAGCAATGGGGAAATATCGACATCACAATCAAGAATGGGCTCTGAAAAGGATGAATTCGAAAGGATCGCATCATATTTTTGATCTGAATGGCTGTTTTGGTGTAAAGGAGAAACCGTACCCCCTTTGTAGACAAATCAAACTGCCTTGAAAATTCAGCATGGACATCTAAACCAGAAAAAAAACACAAAAGTGGCCCCGACGTATAGATCGGAGCTGTTTGCCCCAAACTTCTTGCGACACGTTGCGACCCCAGATCAACATGTTGCAACATCTATAGGACATCATTACCACAGCCTCAGGCCTCACCACATTCCGAAAACATGGGAGGATATGGGAAGTACCTTCTCAACACGCAGGATTTTTGTTGACTCACAGCTTACAAATAATACTATCACCTTAAATAGTATGACGACACTGCCATGAGTTGGGGGTAGAACACATCATAACACTACCTTCCTCAAAACCAAAAGTTAATTCTCAGGGTCTACGTTTTCTTTTCGGGGATGATGTACCCCTTGGTAAACATACAAAAAACTATGGAAAATCACCATTTTCAATGGGTAAATCAACTAAAAATTGTCATTTTCAATGGCAAACTGTTATTTATAGATATTTATAGTTGATTTTCTCACTAAACATGGTGATTTTCCATAGCTTTTTGTATGTTTCACCAGAGGGTATCCATCATTTTTGCGAACAAATCATGATCTTTCAGCGTCCAGCTCCAAGAACTGCAGGTCTGCAAAGTTCACACACCACCTGCAGTGAAGCGAAAACGAACAAGAAATAGATACACATAGGCTATTGTCTACCGGGATGGTGCTCTATGAAAAAAAAATGTGGCAACGACAAGTATGTCTATATGTATATATATGTGCGTGTTTCATTTCCATCACACTATAACTGTTCTGCATTGACACGTGTAAAGTTTGTCCATATCATTGCAACCTCTCTATTTCACTCTCTGTCCAATTATATAACTTCATGTCTATTTATCATCCACACATTAAGATTGATCAAATGGACACTGTAAACATTGGCATACTTGCAAATGATACACAGCAATTTTGAATAGGACACCCCCAAAATACTGGATAGATTATATAACTTAACATAGCTTAACTATCATTATCCACGTCATCAAATCATGGTCACGAATCATCATTATTATGGAGGCGTCCTCAGAATTTGGTTCTATCATGTTCCATCTCTTATCATACAGAAGTGATTCATATCTGGAATTGGACTAATCATTGACATGATGATCATCATCATTTACCCATTTATCCCCGAATGTTGATGGATAAATTCCCACAGTATCCCATTTTAGGGTGGTTGAATCCATGTTGCCATCATAAATTAGTTCATTTCTACAAGTCAATGTTCAAATTCATTATGAGTTACTTTGCAATGGAAAACACACCACTTTCAGGATTTTCAGGTAAGTTCCCTATAGTTTTTCCAGTTGAAAATGGGCGTGGCCCATTGCCATGTCAAATTATCAGAGGGCAGGTACTAGTAAGACCATACCATAGTCTTCGATACCGCCAATATTGGCCCCAAAAATGAACAAATCCAATGTGGGAAATTGATACCCCGATCCCATTATGTAAAAAGAAAACAAGATAGATCGGATATAAATCCACTAGATATCACCAGGGTTAACAAAAATACACTGTAACTACTAAAAATACGGATGTTAAAATTCACATTTTGATTGATTTAAATGGTGCTAGATTCCCATAGTTACCCTCTGACAATCTAATATAGCCATGGAAGTTCTGGCCCGTTTAGTTCGATGATTTAGCTATTACAAATGCTCATGTTCTATAGCGAACTGATGACGATTGTGTTTGCCAGAGGGTATCCCGTAAAAGTGGATAAAATCCATAAACCCCATTAACGTCACGTTTTTTGGGGGTGAGGTGGTCAGCGTTGCCATGAAAATCCCATACCCTCTGGTCATCAAACATGGCTTGCTGGAAAATCTGGAAAATCCTATTATTCTCCCATTCATATCCCATGATTCTCCTTATGAAACCAAATGGCGATGTAATTTCCATGAATATCCAAATGAACCAGTTTTCCAGTATAATTACATGATATTATATGATATTATATGGCTACAAACATCAAAAACACATTTATTATCTCATGAATATCACATGATTATCCCATTCTTAACTGGATAAATCCACATAAAACCCATATTTTCCAGCAGTTTTATCCCAGTTTTGTGCCCACCTGGCAGGGCTCACGGTCTCATGGATCTGCATGGCCTGAAGGGTGCTGGTGCGCTCCCGTCGCAGGTGCGCTTGATGGCGCTGCAGCGCTGCTCCCGTGCAGCGGAAGCAAACCATGGCGGTTTAGCATGGCCCGTTTGCGAAGGAGAATCGATGATATGAGGCAAACTTAGTATATGATGATACTAAATATACTAATTATATATAGTATATTATATAATCATATATTTATATATAGTATGATATATCATGATATGATTTATATACTATAAATATATGATGAACATATGATGTGTATATGAATTATACATTTATACATGATGTTTTTTGTCCTATTTGAAGATGGATCATAGATAGAGAATGATGATAGAATGATAGAATGAAGGAGCCTGGTCTTGATGGATCGTTTTAAAACAATTTTGTTAACATGAAATCAAAGTTGCTTGTCTACCAATAAATCACATATTAGGGCAAAAAAAAAAGGTGTGTATGTATATATATATACAATTATATATATAATGTGGATAGATCATATATCAGATATTCATAGATATAAATCCTTCTATGAACATGCCATGAGTTTGCACCATCCCAGTTTAATCCTTTTTGGGTGGTGGTTCTTTACTTCTGTACGTTGAACGTGTGCCTCTCAGGGAAGTTGGGCGCCAAGATTCCTCAAAGCAAAAGCGCTATTTCCCTAGAAAACAGTTGGATTCTACATAGGTGTGCTCCTAAATCATCAATTTTAATATGATTTTCCATTAGAAACTATTCATTTTTGGGGATCCACCATTTCAAGAAACCTCCATTTCAGGCCCCTATTCATCCCAATTCTACATAGATCTCAAAGATCCTGGAAGCACTTGACCATCGTCACACGTTTGCGGGCAATCTTTTCTGCTCTTGTCTTGTGTATTTGTTTCAGATATCAAAACAGCTGCGGTAACAAATGATTTTAAATGCAAACTCAAGCTTGCTTAAGTGGGTGCTGCAAGTACTCAAAACCGGATTACAACTTGGAAACCCACCACCATGGGACCAAATACCAAATATATAAACATATTTGTGCTGTATCACCATATCGTCATGTCATACAAACAAGGCCATAAACAGAAATACCGGTTTCAGAAACACCATCAACAGAACGACATCGAACATTTAACAGTCGATTCTTATTCACATATGGGTATGGGTCAAAATTAGGTACCTCAATAATTGGATGGTTAATACTAAACTAGACATTCACATCTGTGGTTTTTCTAGGTCTTCCATTTTGACCCACATCCATATTATTACCACACTTTTCCATTTGCGGCATCCGGTTTCAGCCTCACTTCGCCCTGCGCGGGGCCGCCTGTGCCGAGGGATATTCCTGCAATGCACGGCGCAGTGCGGAAGAGCGCAGCAAGAAGCAACCTCAGCGAAGCGGTACCCCTGCAGAGTCCCATCGAATCAAAGTTGAAGTCATCTTTAAATTGCAAAATTACAGTAAATCAACACAAATCAAGCATTCAGGGGGTTAAATTATTCGAGCAAATACCCACAATCTGGGAATAGGCGGTTTTGATTTCAATCAGGAAAGACACATGACAATACGAATTGTTTGCGGGTGAGAGATTTCCGATGATCGCAAGGTAAACGTTTTGCAACGAGCGAGTTGGTCAAGAATTGTGCACATGACACATCAACATCACATAATCACAATTTCACATCTTCACATCACCATCACCATGATCATCATCAACAGTAACATCACTAATCATCAGCAACATCATCAACAACAGCAACATCATCGTCATCATCATTATCATCATCGTCATCATCATCATTAATGTCATAATACTGTAACAGTAATCAACATAATAATAAAAATAGTAGTAATAATAAAAAAATAAAATATAATAATAACCATCACACTCACCATCATCACAAGCCTAATCATCACAATCATCGTCATCGTCATCGTCATCGCCATCACCATCATCGTCTTCGTCGTCATCATCATCATGATGATGATGATGATCATCATCAGCCTGGTCATCATCACCATCATCATCATCATCAGCAGCAGCAGCCTGGTCATCATCATCATCATCATCATCATCATCATCATCATCATCACCATCACCATCACCATCATCATCAGCCTAATCATCATCACAATCATCGTCATCGTCATCGCCACCATAACTTTCATCTTCTTGTTCTGAATTATCCTCCTCTTCATTGCCATAGTCACAATAAGGGTAAAACAATAACAATAATGATCACCATCATCATGTTCGTCTTCATCATCTGGTTTACTTCGACCCCCTATACCCCTCGAGAAAATAGCAAGTCAATTGAGGATCATGATGCCTGGTAAGGACGGGAACAACAACATAAAACCACATGAAACCACCAATCACTTCGTTAGCATAGACAGCAGTTGCTACCCCCTTGGGTGTGACCCTCCTTATCTGGCGGTGGGAGCAGGTAAGTCAAATAACTGCTCTAAAGAGCCCATAAAGGCCTCAAAATCCCTTATAGTGCCTCTAAAAGCCCTCATCATCCCTTTGAGTGACTCTTACACCATTCATAATGGCTCTCAATCCCTCTTGAGTGCTCTTAACACACGAGAGGCACGGACTCAACTCATAACTGGCTCATATCAGCTCTCAAGTGCTCTTTTGGTGATGCTCTTGAGGGCTTAGAGCAGCTAAGAGCAGTTAAGATGGGGGGGTCACATCAATGATACCTGCTGTTTTACAGGGTTTTGGGCCCTCACATCAACAACTAAGCAACACACAGGGGGGGCTCAGCTCGATTTTGGGTGCTGTTCAAAGTGGCCCTTCAAGATGAGGGGGGGTCAGATACAGAGGGCTCGCTCCTGCTTTCTGTGTAATGTAGACCACCCCAATTTTACATTTTTTATGGGTAATCTGTTTCATGATCATTTTACATGGGTAGTTTATTATAGATCTACTAAGATTACATCATTCCTGGTTCAATCCCAAGTTTGATGGTTGCCCTCCGGTAAATGAACGTCGTGCGGAAATTCCACCATTTGAAGATCATCATGGTCCAGCTGGTAAACTTCGCTGGTTGGTGGGGGCTACCTACCCCTCTGAAAAATGATGGACTTCGTCAGTTGGGATGATGACATTCCCAATATAAATGGAAAGTCATAAAAGCCCATGGTTCCAGTCAGCACCAATCAGTTAGAGGCTTTTCCAACATCTACGTTTGTCCAGTTTGGGTAATCCATCCATAGGTTTTCAGTTACCCTCTGGTAAACGTTTACATAACTATGGAAAATCACCATGCTATTGATGGGAAAATCCACTATTTCAATGGCCATTTTCTATGTCGCAAACTGTTAGTCATTACCAGAGACATAGCTATAGAAAATAGCTCATTATACCATTATTAACCATTATTAGCACTAATTAACCACTATTACTGATGATTAACCATTATTAACCAGATATGAACATGTTGGAAATCTCTGAGATCTCACCAGGTCAGCTGTGACCAAAGGGGCTCCATGGTGCTCGGATGCTGCTACTGCGACTGGAACCCGGCGGATGCCGCGCCTGGGATGCCGCGAGAGTCACGCACCACGGGAGTTGTGAAACACAAACCATGGATGGCAAGAGAAAAGAGGCATTTAATAAGGACACCATAATGTTGTATATTTATATATACATATATTTATATCTATATATATATTTATTTATGAGATCAAATAAGCATTGATGATGATGATAATAATATTGAATCGTGTGTATAATGTATTATATATTTAATGATGACACTGTGTGTGTGTGTCTTTTTGCACCATCACGATATCATCGAAATGAGGTTCAACAGGATCAAAACGGCAGCTAGCTAGCATCATGTTAGCATCAAGCCATCCACAAAAACAGCCCAACGTTTCATGGTATTTCTACCTACGAAGAGGGTAGATTCTGCCTCCTTGCAAGGGGCAGTTTTTTCTATTCCAGTCTATTCCTAACATGAGTTGAGTTGTGGCATTTATGTTCTCGCTAAAACTATCCTAACATGAGTTTATATCTGTTTATATCTGTTTATATCCTCATATATGTTCATGTTCTTCATATTTCTTTAATGGTTTTAACCACGTCTTAACCACGGACTTACCAGGCTGGACGACGTTGAACCATCACCGTTCCTGGTGTAACACCACGCCTCCGCGATCTTGGCGATGGCTCTCAAAGAGACCTCCGTTGATCTTGTGATCCCCAGTCGTCACCATGGGTTTCAGTTTCAATACGATTTACCATGGCTGTTTGGTGGTTTTAACATGTTTTAACCATCTTGAGAAATCATGGACTTCGTCAGTTGGGATGATGAAATTCCCAATATAAATGGAAAGTCATAAAAGCCCATGGTTCCAAACCAACGACCAACGAGTAAACCATGGTCATTCATGACTTGGATAATTTGGGGGTACCCCGACTTAAGAAACCTTCAATTGGGGACTTCTGAGTTTCAATTCTTTAACAATAACAACATGTTCAACTGACCAGTTGATGTCAGATCACTTTCTGAATGATCCAAAATAATTCATGTTGATCTGAGAACATGAGTTCATCAATTTGGATTTGCGGGTCCAAAAAATAAAGAAACACATGGGAAGCAAACAACATGTCAAGGTCGATAAAAACATGTCCGTATGTGTATATGTATAGCATATATTTTATATTATATACCATTGCGACCTATATAATCCTATATATATATACGTATATATCATCATCCTGGAGTAGATAGTCGATTGAACATTCAAATATATTCACAGTTTAATGATTATTTTTGAACATGACATATTCTATCTACTCCAGGATGCCTATATTTACAGCCATCATATAGTTGGGGAAATATGTTATCATTACCCTCTGGTAATTTAACATAAGTATTGAAAATGGCCCATAAAAATAGTTGATTTGCCTATTCAAAAAAATGGTGATTTTCCATAGCTATGTTAGTTTACCAGAGGGTATTGTACTGCTTCCTGTATAATAGTACAAACAATAGTAGAACTTGCTACATTGTTTTATATTCCCTGGTCATCAAACAGTATTACCAATTTGATTGTACTACTTCCTATATAGTATGACAGTCAGAATATAACCGCCATCATCCATACCTTTGGCATCCCGGCCGCGGCGGCAGTAGTACACGCGCCACTTTTCTGGGAGTAACTCTCAGAGCCTGGGGAATTTTGGGATCTGGACGGGCTTTAACTCATGGTTTGAGCATCCAAAAATGGTGATTTAATGGGATACAATGGATCTATATATATATAGGTTTACAGCTAATCAACTATATTTATACAATATTAAATCATCCCGTCTCCCCCGAATATTCAACAGCCCCCAGAAACCATGGTGGATCTAGGGCTTTTCTCAGTGACACAGAACTGGGACCACAGAATGGGCGTGCTGAGTCCCAAAACATCCCAAGACTGATCATTTCCAGGCCAGGACATCTGTGATGTACATGATGTAATTTATCATTCATTATATCAATGGGAATTCCAGGATCCAAAAATGGAGGTACTGTACCATATAAGGCCATATTTTGTGGTGATATTCCCTTGCATAGGCCTTACATAGGCCTTATATATTATGGTAGGTACCTCCAATCTAGGATCCTGAAATGGCCATTGATTATATGAAGTTCATATAATTATTAACCGTTCATAGTAAGCATTCATGATGTACATGATGTAACCATCTTCATTGTATATGTCTTAGAACAGCAGCTGGTTGCAACCACCGTCTTGAACAGATTGCTAGAGACTTGAGCTCGCGCTGCTTGCTCCATGGGTCTCTGTGAAAATAGGCTGCCTCTAAGATCCAATCGTTAATCATCATCAATTTCCCAATTAACGCGGCCATATCTTGGTGGACAACCCCCAACAAGGTGATGCCCCCCCCTGTTTTGCTTGGTTTATGCATCCCATTAAGTAGTTCGATATATATCTACCATAAACCATAGATCATCTACCATGAACCATCGTTCATATACCATAAACCATGGTTGATTCACCTAGGTATCACCAACTTCACAGTGAGTTTTCCGAAAACCCACCGCGCAAAAAAACAGCCTGCCGCCAGCACATCCGCAAAGCCGAAGGCCTGCGGCCATGCGACTTACTGGCTCACACCAAGTACTATCTATACAATATATATGGTAACCGACAGAATTATGAAAAAAAAAGTTCAACTTAGACAGGCGGCGCCTGCGTCCGATTTTTCCATAATTGGGTTTTTCCCCATAAGGGTTCAAAATATCCCGGAAGTGATCCGAACCTTTTTTTTTCCATAATTCTTGGAGGTGGCCATTATTTCCATAATTGATTTTTCCTGTCAAATCAGGGGGCTAGGGCAGATTGACCGGTTTTTCCATAATTTGTTTTTCCATAATTATTTTTTCCATAATTAATGTTTGGGGCTCCACCTGTTGGACATGTCATGGATCCACAATTCAAACCCCTTTTTTTGGGGGGTTATGGAAATATGTATGCAAATGCAAGTATGTAGTATCAACCCAATTGGTGGCTTGGCAAAAGGATACATCCCGCATATCTATGTACGTACAACAATGAGTTTTGGTGGTGCAATTGTATATCAATGGAAGACTTAGGGGCATATACCAGATCTTTAGACACATATTTTCTATAATTCAATATTCCCCCTTAAAATGCATTCAAATTGCGAATCGATGGACATACAGTCACCGACAGAATTATGGAACAAAATAAATATGGAAAAAATAATTATGGGAAAAAAAAGGTTCGTAACTTTTCTATCATAGACAGGCGGCGCCTGTAAATTGAAACGTTTTTTTTTTCTCCATAATTCTGTCGGGTGCTGTATATATATATATATTTATCATATAATATATGTACACATATTATACTGTGGTGTATATATATATTCATTTATTTACTTATTCACACATATTATGTATAATGGACGTACAAAACAATGTGCATATATATATACATACATACATACATAATATCGTATGTATGTCACTTCCAATGCGGAACACTATGATCTACCATGTTTTTTTTAGGGCTATGTACCTCATGTTCAAACAAATTGATTCATTACAACCCAAGTTGTATGTGGGATTTTTGTGCAGCGGAAATGGGGAATTTTGGACATCCTTTTGCCGACATTGATACAACACCTGGATGGTTGATGGAGACCATAAAATGGATGCTCCGTTCATGGACAAGTACAGTGGGTCTCTCTGAAAACGAGGAGATGTTCCCCGGCAAAAAAACTGATGATGAACCGATGGATTTGGAATAGCAGCTATTGTCAGACAACCCCCAAGTTTTTTCCAAATATCCCTTAAATGCCAACTTGCTTGGTTACCATATATTATCCCATGTTGGTTACCATATATTATCCCATGTTATATCCCATTATTATTAATAGGTAACGGTAAATCCCATTCTATTATCCCATTAATCCATTAAATCCACTATATCCAACCAATGATAGGTGTTATATCCCATTATATTCCCATGATTATCCAGATATTATCCCCTTATTACCAGTGGTTGGTTACCAATGTTATCTCCCATTATATTCCCATTCATTGATAGGTAAATCCATCTGATTATCGTACCGGGTCTCCGACGGAGACTCGTCTCGCCGCGTCTCGCCTGTCCCACAGTTAGCTCCTCGCAACAGACCCCTGAAATCTCCAGGCCTCACACGGGAAGCGTCGAGCGAAATGTCGTCCTAAAAAGGACCGAAAAATAAGCTACTATTGTCATCTATTGTCATCTTTTGTCATGTATGTGAAGTGTATATGTTCAGAAATGGGATCATTGGCATCATTTGTCATGATTTAAATGAACATTTAAATGCATTTTGATGGTAAGTAATTCAAATAGAGGGGCCGGTTTGGTACATTATCTTATATTCTCATCTACCTATTGGTTGTTGAATGTGGGAGGAAACCTCCACTAATAAACCAACCACTGGGAAAAGCACATCTATGACGGGAACTCCTATCAATCAAGCAGGCTGTATGATGGTAGCTCATTACTTATAGTTACCCTCCGGTCCTCAGGTAGTCAAACACGGCGTGCACATAATTTTGCCAGGGAACTAAACCTCCATCCAAGGTGGGCATATCCCAGCGAGCCACACGCTTGCCAGAGGATAAGTTTAGCTATTTTCTTCAGAGGTAAATGTTGAGGATTGTATCTGTTCTACATTGTATTGCCTTTTTATTTGTTGGCTGATGTTCAATTGGGACATTTACCCACCCCTTTTTATAATTGTATATTTGTAATATATATATATATATTAAGTAATAAATATAATAGATATATATATATATAATATTTATATATATATATATAATATGAATAATATAATAATATAATATATATCGTGAATATAATATGATAAAATAATAATATATATATATATATAATATTATATATATAAATATTATACGATATTATAAATATATATATAAACATATATATAATATATTTAAAAAAACATAAGATATAATATATATCTAATAATATACAATATATATGTATATCATATAATAAAAAAACAAAGTAATATATTATATAGTATATATTCTATATTAAATTAAATGTAATATGTATATATATATTGCATATAATGTAATATATATATATATATTATATTCTAAATTAAATAAAATATATAATATTTTTCATATAATATATAAGATATAAGAAATGAGATATATAAGATATAAAACATATATAATCTATAATATATATAATATATAGAATATGTATAATATATAGAATATATATAATATATATATATAATATATATATATAGAATATATATAATATATCGCATATATATATATAATAATAATATATATAAATTAAATAATATATATAATATATATATAATATATAATATAAATAATATATATAATATATAATATATATAATATATATATAATATATATATATAGAATATATATAATATATCGCATATATATATATAATAATAATATATATAAATTAAATAATATATATAATATATATATAATAAATAATACATAAAATAAATTTAAAAATATATATATATAATATATAATATATATAAAATATATAATATATATAATATATTTAATAAAAATAATATATATAATATAAAGAATATATACTAAAATATAAAATATAAAATCTATACTATAATAAAAAAAAAATATATAATATAAAAGATATAAGAATAAAAAATATAAGATATATAAACATATTTTATATAATTTAAATAAATATATATATATATAATAAATAAAATATATAATATATATAATATATATAATTTATATAATATATGATATCACATATATAATATATAATATATATATAGGAAATTTTCTTCAATCGATCAGGCCAATTAGAACTCCTGGTCCTGGGCCCCGACGGAACGTGCCACTTAGCACCACCACGGCGGTAGAGGCTTGACCCTGAAACCGGAATCATATGCCATGTTTAAACACACCGATGCATGACTGGAATGCACATGAACTATATTATATCATATATATATATATGAGTGGTTATACGGATAAATTAAGACGATGGCCATGGATACACATTATTAATTATGTACTGTATAAGTATATAATTATAATATACATACGGCAGGATATATGCATGCTTGTAAATGAGTCCACACATCGATATAGATATGCCGTGCTAGTCCCAGTCGCGAAAATTGTTTGCCTCAATCACATGCAGTGCATGGCAGAAGTATGACAGCAATACAATGGCCAACAAAATTGGTACCATAATTACCCTCTGGTAAATAAACATAGCTATTGAAAATTGCCATTTATTATAGTGGATTTTCCCATTAATTAAACATTGCGATTTTCCATTTCAGCGCTCTCAGGCTTGTCTCAGGCTGATTTCAGGGTAGCCCATTTGAGGACCCCCAATGCATTGCCTTGGAAGCGACGAAAAATCAGCCCTCGCATGACGGTTACTCTCACTTCCTATAAATCCTTGAGTAAAAAAAAAAACAGCTGCCATAAATCACCCTTAGGCTCTTCACACCATCCACCAGAAAATGCCGCATGGTTCCAGTGATGGTTCCATGTTCCATGCCCATCCCTCACCTCACCAGGTTTGTGACCTGGCGACCAGCTGAACATTGCGCGGAAATTGAAATGGACTGAGATAGGTATACCCCTTAGCATACCCCGAACTCTGATAGATCCTACCCTTGCTCTCGAGCTCTTTCTTCAATGATCATTGCTGATCCTGCACACTGGTAACATCAACATCATCAACTAAGTTTAAATATGTTGTTTTGTTTACCCCAACTCAATCTTCACAATCCCTTCCCCCAAAAAAAACGCCAGAACGCATCATGAAACTGCCCAGCCTCGCACGGTCATTTCCGTGTGATTTCCAAGGAAAAAACATATCCAGTTTCCCCATTAAGATAGCCACATTGGGGAGTAAGAAAGGGGTATACCCAATTTTTCAGAGGTTATATACCCAAGTATCATATTGTATAGCCTGTCTATACCTATTATAATCCATTGTATGAATGTATAATATATATATATATCATATCATATCATATCAAATCAAATCATATCATATAATATCCATTGATATCCGTTGTATACCTACGCATTAATGGTGAAATCCCCTTTGATATCCCAAATCCCACATATAGTTAAATCCCCACTACATGGAACCCCAGACATGTTTATTGATAGACCCATTCTATACATCAACTTTTCAGGTTCCAAACGTTACTTTCTCTAGCTCCTCTCGAAGTTTCGGCCTCGGAGATCACGAAACTCACCTGGAAAGAACTGAGGTTTCGAAGACTTGCCACAGAAATACCCTAAACATACAAAAAACTATGGAAACTCACCATTTTTCATGGGTAAATCGACTATTTCTATGGGCCATGTTCAATAGCAAACTGTTAAATTACCAGAGGGTATGTTGAAACTCCACGAAACTTGGTGAAACCTAGAATTTCTCGAATTTCTCCTGTTGTGTTGCTTATTTTTCTTATTTTGTGTGGGGAAAACGTAGCCGCATATAGCAAGGGCCTCTCGTGAAATTCAATCCTTTGCGATTCCAGAGTTGACGGACCAGAAGATCGAGGGAAATTATGTTTTTCCCTGTTTTTTGATATTCAAAAGCAATGGCCCCTTGTACCCATTATATTATATATATATAATTTGTATGCATAATGCATAATATAATTATAAATATATATATGTGTAATTGTTGAAATCTCATGTATGATAACCTGGTGTATTTAAGCATTTGGTTGGTTTTGTTTTATTTTGTTTTGGGGTCACTGACAAATCACATACAGATTCCATAGAGATTCCGCATCGAAGGTGCCCCACTGATCCAGCCTGGTTTCAGCATCAGGTGCTCTCCATTGGAGGCCAAGTAGTTGATAAAGTTCTGCAACGACGAGATCCCCATGGGTCCCCCAACATGTGTTTTTTCCTCCAGCAGGCAGCCGAAAGAACTGAGCACTTGTCTTTTTTGATGTAACAGGCAAGTGAGACACAATTACAAGTTCATGCTTAAGTTCAACCTGCAACGTGCTGTCGCGAAACATGGTGGCAAAATTTTGAATATGCTCAGAACTTTGATTGCGTCCAAATGGACGAGAGCACGTGGAAATTGAAGTCTGAAACATTGAGGAATGATAAGAAATCCTGCACCAGTTGATAGGTGGTTTATCCCACTATTTATGGAGTTTCAACCATCCAAGGTGATGCAGGATTTCTTCCATCCACAGTGCATTTGAAGCCTGTTGCATCATTTTTGTTTAAATGGAAGAACAATTTTAGAACTCTGGAGGCAACGAGATGATGATTTTACTTCGACTGGAGCAATATCTTCACTGCCAGAAATGGAACCACTGTTGTACTTTCTATACTAAAAGTACAGAGTAGATCAGAACTACCGTCTATGTTCAGTTGGTTTCTACCCTTACCTGAGGTACCCTATCTGACTATACCTCCTTCGGCAAACTAACAAATGAAATATGATGGAAATCCTTTACACATGGATACAAACAGTGGAAAATCGGAGCTGTGCCATGTACAGCTATATTTTCGGGCCATCGCCTCCCGACAGCCCTTGAAGATCTGCAGCGCCGCGAGTGCACGCTCCGCTGTCATTGGAGCTTCGTGCCGAACGTTCCTGCGCCATGGGATTTCACGCTGGAAGCTGGGCCCCCACAGATGTTTGGAAATCATTGTGTTTTAAATGGGATTTAATTGAATTTAGCGGGATTTTGATGGGATGTTATGCGATTTGATGTTTTCTTTTAATGGGATCTTATGGATTTTAAGAGAAATTAATGAGATTTAACACGATGTAACCATTAGCACCAAGGATTCAATGGGAGTGAAACTGGGATTTAATGCGATTTGAGCCCCCAGACGTTCTGTTTGTTGGTTCATAACCCATCTTATTATAGATACTGTATATCTACCATAAACCCAAGTTAACCTAGTTGGAAAAAAAACGCAAGTTATCTATGGGGACTGGTCGGTGATAAATTTTGGACTTGAACCGAAGTGGTCCATTTGGTGGTGAAACCCTGCTCAACCTAGGTGTGAGTCAAACCTTAGTGCTTTCCCAAACATGGGATTGTTTCCTATAGCATCCCCAACAAAGATAGACAAGTTTAATGTCCCATATGTTTTTTTCAGGTACGTTGCTGCATTTTTAAAAGGGGAGGGGTTGCTTTTTCAAGGTTGACCCTTTCATCTGTGGTCCCGGCCTTGAAACCATTGTTGCCCAGTTCACTTCACCCCGATTTCGCACCTTGAAGTGCGGCCTTGAGAGTCAGCCTGGGATGCAAGGGACCCTATAGGGACCCTGGGATACAACGCAGTCACAGCATAATCATTCCTCGAAGCCACAAGACTATTCTCTTGGATGCTCGATCTTACATCTTGGTGTATAGAATTCCCAAATATTCCAAAGTCAGGGTCATTTAATGTATGGTACGGAGGTTCCAAGTGTTGATTTGGTACACGTTGATGAGTTGATGTGGGTTTGTGTGAAAAATACCCGATAGTCACATGTTTAAGCAACGTTTTCTCATGTTTTTTCCATTTGAATTTCCATTTTGGGGTATATCATGGTCTACTCCATTTTCAAACAAACCCACATACCACATGGGTTACATATTGGTTAATATTGGTTACTATTGGTTGCAGTGTTATATTTATATATATATATATATGTATAGTATCCCGTTATATCCCGATTATATGCTAAATGCCAACATATCACAACATCAGGGTCATACGGTTCTAGATTTGCTTCACAGGTGGGTCCAAACATTTTGGTTTACGGTCGTCATCCGGCTATATATCACTCCCTTTTAATCGATTACCATACCCCAAGGTCTGGGAAACTAACCCATGGGTATTTAACCAAAATAGGAGTGGAGTGTACCGTACCCCCAAATCGTTCATTTTAAATAGGATTTTCACTGAAATAAACCATCCAGCTATTGAAGTACCCCCATGACTTAGGACACCTCCACATGCTGATCACCTGTTCATAAAATCATCCGCCATTCCCTTGCCTTGAACTTCATCGAATCCACACTGCGGCCTCGATACGAAAGTGGAAAGGACACTCAGGAACCAAAAACAATATTTTCCTAGAAGCAACCAACATGGAGTATATCATTGGCCAATTTAACCCGAAAATAATACGGTATACGGCGTGCCTCGGGCGATGGCCCTTGGGAGACTTCGCTCACTGTGGATAGGATCAACGAGAAGAGCATTTTTCTCTGGGGAAGGAGGTTGGAACGAAGTCATCGAGTTTGGTCGGCTTCAGAAAGTTATAAAGCATCCTGGCGGGTGGGAAGCCGCGCTAGCAGTTGAGCACGCTTTGAAAAAAGTCTGGCACTGTGGCACCGTGCGCATTTCATGAGTCATACTTCTATACATTTTCCCGGGGAAAATCGAGTAATGTTGAAGTGGTCGCATGGTATTTACAGGGTTTTGTGGCCTTGGAATGATGGTCGCTTTTTACTTCTGCCATAGCCGCTTGGTGTGACCGGTGAGACTCATGTAATCCTTGGAATTTCCATGGTGCCACTGCCAAATTCGAATTCCTTACTGAGGATTTATAGTTCCATTTTTGCGTTTGCCCCAAGAACTTGACACTGCACCTTTGGAAATTTTCCACATTCCATCGATACCACCGGTGTGCAAAGTACTGTACCCCATGCTTTCTTCTTCTTGATGCAAAAGATTCCCTTACTATGATTGCGCTTCATGGCCCAAATTATTTTCACAGGTAAGTTTAGGGTAACATGGGGCACTGTCTGTCACCAAGATGCTTTTGCGACCATTCTTGCATCGTGAGCACACATTTCAAAGCACCAGTGGCATGAACACGCAGCGCGCTCTCAGGAGGAGGCTTCCCAGATCATAAATTTAGAAGTTTCCTCCGGAGTTTTCATCATTGGGGTGTTGGCATAATGAACGTTATTGCAAGTAAAATGAACGGCATTGCCCCACCCCCCCCCCCCCCCCCCCCCCCCCCAAAGCCCAAACCCCAAGCCATGACGTAGCCCTAGTGTAGCATCACTTGAGATTGCAAGTAACATGAACGTTATTGCCCCACCCCACCCCACCCAAACCCCATATTCAAACAGTGGCACGACTGCACGCGCGGTTTTCCCACCCGTAGCTAAAACATGACTTTGGATAACTTTGGGGGGTTCAGCGACATATAAGACATCTGTGTACACACAAATACTCGGGACCGAAGTGTCAAACAAATTGATCTACTATCGAAGGCCAACTCATCATGATTTTGTGTCTGTTTGAAACTATTTCCGACCATCTGTTAAAGCCCTGAATACCCTGTAATTGACTGGCGATATCATACCCTGCAATACTTAGAACGCATGGTGTGTGGTGTGTGTGTCTCTCTTTCAATCACATATATTTGCTATCCTTTACTCCTACTGGCAGGTTTCCTATTTATATTATATATAAGAGCTATATAATTATATACTGTATATAATATACACATGCACAATAGATGTTGCTCTAGATATCTGTAGTATATATCTCATATAAGTGTATATTAATATGATATATGCTCCATGTATGGACTATGACTATTCATCAACATTTATCCTCTGGTAAACTAACATAACTATGGAACATCAACTAACTAACTAAACTAACTAAACTAACTAAACTAACTAAACTAACTAAACTAACTAACTAACTAACTAACTAACTAACTAACTACCTAACTAACTAACTAACTAACTAACTAACTAAATTACTAACTTAATATCTTACTAACTTACTAACTTACTAACTTACTAACATACTAACATACTAACATACATTCATGAGGTAAATCCACGAAGTGGACGGCAATGTTCAATAGCAAACTGTTAGTTCACACCCAGTTTTTGTAGATCAATATGAGCCAAGGCGCTCATCTCACCATCGCTATGGAAGTTGGTTCTGAGGATGCCATGGCGATGGTCATCCATGACTTGGATGGTACGGGTACCCCCCCACTTTAGGAAACTTTCATATTGAGGACGTATAACATCACTGGTTGGTGGTTTTAACCATCTTGAATTATTAGTCCCAATATCTGGAAAAATAAAAAATGTTCCAAACCACCTACCAGATCATATAACTTATATAACGAACGATAGCTACAGCAGCTACAGCAGAAACTCATTGAACATCCGCAAACAGGCGGCGACTCAGTAGGGATACGGATGGATTCAATATACTGTACACTGGGGGGGGGGAACTGATATCTCACAACGAGAGATGGGGATATCACGAGCCAAAACATGAAGTTACAGCAAGCAGCGTAAATGGGAACTGAATCAACAAAAAAACATGGACTCTCACCAACACAACTTGATAAGTTTATACAATTAGACGGGTTTTGTTCTCCTTCTTCTTCTTCTTCTTCTTCTTGCGATTCTTCCCGGCAACCGTCGGGGTCACTCCACCAGTGTTGCTTGGCAACAAAATCAACGGAACACGTCGGTGTTTTGGGGCTCATGTTTCATGACACAAAGCCGACATGACTGACAGTCTATGATAAACCCAAACCCAAGATTTAACTTTGGATGTTATGTTTGGATGTTTTTGTTTACCCCTTGCACATCATCATCTATGCTATGGTTACCGGACATCATCTGCTCCTCCCTTTGCGCTCTCGCAGCTCCCCGTCCTGATTCGATCAGCCAAGATCTCCTGAAATTCGACAGTGACCGTGGCAGATTTTTCCCAGTGCTTGGGACCATTCTTTGTGAATTTCTATCATAGCAACCCAAAAAACGATAGAACAGTTGGACAATGTTGGACACCTGGAAACTATGGGGAACAGATTGTTTTTCTTCCCAACCTGGAAATACTGTGATACACCCTTTTGGGGACCAACAGTAGCTGTTAGTATGACAATGTCTTTGCTGCTGTTCCCTCTAAATGGTCGAACATGGAGGCCCAACAATTGGATGTTGATGATAGTATCGATAGGCACATTGGACACAACCGTGCTTGACAAACCATGTTTTAAGGATCCAATCTATATGTCAGCGACACATGTCGTTCCTGACGACCTGTGAAGTGTTCTTTTTTCCATTCAAGTGACAGTTTCCGAGCTACAATTCTGGGATATTGGTGGTGTTAATTAAAGTGAAGTGGTGTGAAGCTTACTCCAGCTTTCCCTGCAGCAGTTTCTTCAATGAACACAGCTGGCAGGTCCAAACTCAGATGGCTACGTGGGGCTACATGTGCTGTAGGGTCTGCCTACAGTTCGAAAAAAGTGTGGCTTTGTTGTTGAAACTGGGGATGGGCCCCCTTTCGGAATGGCAAGTCTGGGGAACATGATATTAAAAAAAAAAACATTAACACTTAAGTCATTTCTGGTTGGTGGTTTCAACCCCTCTGAAAAATATGAGTTCGTTAGTTGGGGTTGTGAAATTCCCAATATTAATGGAGAGTCATAAAATTCCATGGTTCCAGTCACCACCAACCAGCTATAAACTTACCATATACCCTCTGGTAAACTAACATAACTATGGGAAATCACCATTTTTCATGGGTATATCAACTATAAATGGACCATTTTCAATAGCTATAATTGTCCATCCCATGAGTTACCATACATCGCCAAAACACTTTTGTGCCCTGGCAGCTGACTGTTCAATCCCTGGAGCCTACACGTTTCCAATAGAACATGTATCCATGTTATCCCATCATTTGAGTATACGTGCGCTGGTGTTTCTGGACACATGATGCTCACATGTTTATACCATGTCATGGGATAACTAGCGTTTCTATATATTAATATCATGGCTACCAATCACCATGTCAATAACTTCATGGTCTCAATGATTAGTCGATTAGTCAAGGATTTCACATTACTGCGGCACCGGGTCGCACCTGGTAGGAGAAGGGATCCAAGGAACTCTGCAAGCTTCCGTTGTCCCCGCTGTTCGCACCTAGATGATCTTTTGAGCGTCTCGCAGAGTCTGGGGTAAGTGGCCCAATCAAGAAATACAATGAAAACACAATAAACAATAATTTTAAAACACAATAAACAATACTAATAAACAATAATAAACAATATTATAAACAATAATGTCATTTTAATGCTGTTATAAAGTTATTGGTTGTATCCCATGTTCATTGCATGCTATTGGATAAAAATGAGAGAAAACCGTTCGAACAGCAAGGCCCGCTTGAAGCCCAGGCCATCATGGGATCGGTCCCTTTTCGACATGTTTCGACCAGTTTCGCCTTGAAAATTAAGAATTTGGGCGAAAAGAAAAGGGAGAAAACTCTGAGAAAACTCCCTATTTGATAATTATCTATATGTTTTTCATCTATATATATATATAAACTATAGTTACACTAGTTTCTATAATAATATACTCTTTGGAAAATTTGGAAACTTAGGTCACTGCGAAGGAGAGCAGGAGTGTTAAAACACTCAGATCAGCAATGGTTGATCTAATGTTTGCAATTGTGCAACCTTCGTGCGTGTTTGAAGACTCCAAACAATTTCCCTTTGTTTCATGACAACAAAAATTACTGCAAGGCTGTTCGAACATTGATAATGCTGCAGTGATTTTGTTGGACCGTTTTTCCGTCTGCAGCAGTCACCGAGTTTCTTTACACAGCTGTCCAAGATTGTGGAGCAGGTTGCCTTGAAAGATGTTAGAACGTAGCATCAACTATGTCTCAGAAAGTATAAGAGAACATGGCAGAGCGTTGCGCGGCAAGCATGTGAGAAAGTAGAAAATAAATGAAAATAAATTACTTTACTTCGTGTGATCCCCACCATGACATTTATACATTTTCTTACTGGCAAATCTTCTGGCATTCTATCTGACATATCTTCTGACATTCTATTTTGCATTCTATCTGGCATATCTTCTGGCATATGATCTGGCATATCTTCTGGCATATCTTCTGGCATTCTATCTGGCAAATCTTCTGGCATTCTATCTGGCATATCTTCTGGCACTCTATCTGACATTTTATCTGGCATTCAATCTGGCATTCTATCTGGCATATCTTCCGGCATATATTCTGACATATCTTCTGGCATTCTATCTGACATATCTTCTGGCATATATTCTGACATATCTTCTGGCATATCTTCTGGCATATCTTCTGGCATATCTTCTGACATATCTATCTGGCATATCTTCTGGCATATTTTCTGGCATTCTATCTGGCAAATCTTCTGGCATTCTATCTGTCATTCTATCTGGCATATCTTCTGGCATATTATCTGGCATTCTATCTGGCATATCTTCTGGCATATCTTCTGGCATATCTTCTGACATTCTTTCTGACATTCTTTCTAACTTTCTTCTGCACATTCTTTGTCCCATATCTTCCTACATGAGGTCCGGCAGGGAACACTTGGCGTGGATGGTCGTGGTTGAGGTCCGGCAGGGAACACTGGGCGGGGATGGTCGTGGTTGAGGTCCGGCAGGGAACACTGGGCGTGGATGGTCGCGGTTGAGGTCCGGCAGGGAACACTGGGCGTGGATGGTCGTGGTTGAGGTCCGGCAGGGAACACTGGGCGTGGATGGTCGTGGTTGAGGTCCGGCAGGGAACACTGGGCGTGGATGGTCGTGGTGGAGGTCCGACAGAGAACACTGCGGATTGCGAGTCGCAGTTGAGCAGGAGGACGAGGAGGACAACGAGAGGAGGAGGAGGAGAAGGAGGAGGACGAGGAGGACGAGGAGGACCAGGCAACTGACATAAAATCTAACAACCCTCACCTGGCAGGTGGGGAATGAAAATAAATGAAAATAAATGAAAATAAATGAAAATAAATGAAAATAAATGAAAATAAATGAAAATAAATGAAAATAAATGAAAATAAATGAAAATAAATGAAAATAAATGAAAATAATGTGTAGGGACGTAGCATCAAGTATATGTGAGAAAGCACAAGACAAGTTGTTACAGAGCAGCATCAAGTATGGGAGAAAATCATGGAGAAGTGGCTAGAGCGTATTCTCAAGTAAAGTATGTGAGAAAGTAGACAAGAAGATGTAGGGGCGTAACATCAAGAATTTGACAAAGTAGACAAACGTTGTTTTAGAGTAGCGCCGAGAATGCGCGCACTTAGATGAGAAGATGTTATAAGAGCGTAGCATCAAGTCTGGGCATTCGTAGAAGATGTTAAGGCGCAGTATCAAGAATTTTGAATATGAGAAAGTAGAGAAGAGGGCTAGAGCGTAGCCAAAACCGAAACGTCGACATGCCAAAAGTGACCCGTCGACATGCCAAAACTGACCCCTCGACATGCCAAAAGTGCCCCGTCGATGTGCCAAAAGTGACCCAAAAGGATTCTCTTGTGACTTCAAATGCGCCATTCTCCTGAAAACCAAATGACCCATTTTATCCACCATAGTGATAATGTATGATACAGTAATCCATGATAATCCACAATTCACCCAGGGGTGAAATGAGTCACTGGGAGTTTTTTGGTTCATTAAAGCTACCCTCAGGCAATCAAACATGGCAATGGAAATTCCCCTTTGATAGCTCATTTTCCTATTTGAAATTGCGATTCATGAAGCATTCCACCAGCTGCTGTGGATTTTAAAACTTAGAAGTTGACATGTGGTGGCATGCACCAAACATAGCATGGCCACTGCGCAAGGATGACATGTGACTGCCATTGCAAAATGGCTCAAGCCAACGAAAGTTGGCTCAAGGGCGAGACGAAAAAGGTCTTGCCTAGCAGCTGCTGCTTCAGCTGTTGATCCACGGGTTATGAGCCCAAGGGATCTCAGCTGACATGGAGCTTGCTGGTCGCCGTGAGTCTTCCCTTCAGCGAAGAGCTGCTGCTGCTGTTAGCGCTGTGAAAGCTGCCGGCTGCGCAGACGACCTGATGGAGGAGATGTTGGAAGAAGCTGCTGGGTCCGGAACTGGTGGGTCCGTTGGAGCTCTGACTGGTGAACCTAATACCACTGAACCTGTGAATAGTGGGGGTATGTTGGATGCTCTTGGGCCTGTAGGACCTCCGTTGTCTTTTTCCCCTGGTCAGCCACCCATGTTAGTTGAGGGAGCTAAGGGAATGCAAAACCTCGAGGTGAAACAAAACGTTGAAAACACACCTGGTGTCAAAAGGGTCGTTGTGACAGAGCAACAAACTCGGAACCCACCAAATGAGGGGACTGGAACTACCACCGAATCAGCGCAGGGGATTGTGAATGAACATAGTCCTAGAGATGGTGCTGGTAAGGGAAAGGGGTCTAGCTCTGAGTCTGGCAGAAGGGAACCCAGAAAAACTGTTGCCGCAGAAGCACAACACTCAAACCGGGATGTGCAGAGCTCACGTGTGAGGGGTTCTGAGGGTGTTGAAAATGTGTCGCAGGACTCACGAATGAGGGGTTCTGTTTGTGAAACTGTGTCCCAAGACTCACGCATGAGGGGTTTTGGTCGTGAAAATGTGTCTCAGAGCTCACATGTGAGGGGTTCTGAGGGTTGTGAAATTGTGTCGCAGGGCTCACGAATGAGGAGTTCTGTTTGTGAAAATGTGTCTCAGGGCTCACATGTGAGGGGTTCTGAGGGTTGTGAAACTGTGTCCCAAGACTCACGCATGAGGGGTTTTGGTTGTGAAAATGTGTCTCAGGGCTCACATGTGAGGGGTTCTGAGGGTTGTCAAAATGTGTCACCGGGTCCCACTGGAAAGGGTTCGGGTGTTGTGAGTGAAACCATGCCTCAGGGCTCCAATGTGAAGGGTTCAGGGGTTCAAAGGTTTTACATAGGTGATGGGCCTCAGGGCTCCGGAGCCGTTGTTGTCGCGCCTCAGGGTAGCAAAAATGTTGTTGTGGTTCCAGACCAAATGGGGGAAGTTGTGAATCCCTTCTGGAGCGAAACTCAGCAGCGTGAAGCTGTTCGAGAAGCATTCGGGCCTGGGTACGATGTGAGTGCCTTGGGTTTGCAGCCGGGTTCAAATGCGTCGACACCCCAAAAAGTTCATGTGGAACAAAGGGAACGTGTTGATGTTGAAATGGATCCAATAGAACTGTTCCGATTGCGTTGTTTGAGAGATGCTGAAGAAAAGTTTCGGCAGGGTTTGTTGAATATGGGGATGAGTGCTAAGGAGTCAAGGGTTGAAAAACATGAGCATGAAAAAGGGTCGCATGGTTCTCAAAGTTCATATGTTTCGGCAGTGGATTTCCAAGAGCCTGTTGCCCCCAAATCTCATGATGTGGTTGAATCCCAAATGGTTCATGATCCATATGTGAGGGTTGTACCTGAAAAGGCTGTGACGTTCACGAGGGTTGCACCTGAAAACGTTGTGTCAACTGTGTCAAATGTTGTTGAACCATTTGTGCCTAGGCCACCACCTGGACCTCCACCACCATCGCCGCCAAGAATGTTGAATAGTGTATGTGGGTTAGGGTCAGTAACACCTCAATTCCCTCCTGCACTGCCACCTTTTCCTGCGTCTGTGGCAGGAAACTTGCAAAACTCAGGTGGTGAAAATCCATCTGAAAATCTCAGGACGGTGGAGCTTCCGAAGTTGTCCATGGATGCCACTGCTCTGCAATTTGGTGATTGGCTCAGCATCATCGATTCTCTCATGGGTGACTTGTCGTACTCGTCGGGGGATTGGTGGACCATGGTCAGGGGAGCTGTTGATCAGTGTTATAGGGATTGGTTGAATGTTGGACCAATTGAAAGGCTTAGGCTTCGACCACAGGTGGATCCTAGGGTTCATCTTTGGCCTCGAACGGAAAGAAGGGCTTTAGCCATGCTTTTGGGAGCCATTCCTGACCCCATCAAAGAAGAAGTGATTTCAGCTCGAAAACTGACCACTGACCAAGTGTTGTACAAGTTGTGCATCACCTTCCAACCGGGAGGTGCTACTGAGCGCACGAAGTTGTTGCAGAACATTACGGATTCCAAATGTGGTTCCAATGTTCATGAAGTTTTGGACTGGATTCGAACCTGGCGACGGTTT